TATCCTACAAGGCAGCAGGACATGGAGCAGGTTGTACTGGGTTACATGTTACCAGTAGCAGGAAAACCTGACCTGACCTGAATCTTAAAGAACTCAAAAGCTTTTTTTGAGTGAGGAATGAATGATAATGAGGAATGTTGATAATTTAATTAAAATAATTGTAAACAATCAGTAGTAGTAATTTATTACTTTATTTAAAAGATTTTTGCATAATATAAAGATATAAATTTTGAAGTTATTCCAAATGTAGTTTAAAAGATAATTTTAGCAAATAAAAACAACTGCATTTAAAAAATAAAAAATAGTTACTCTAGCGCAGTTATCTTTTTAATATTTAAATAGTTCAATAGTTTTAGAAGTTAATTTTTAGTTTAAATTTGATGAACTTGTTTACTTTACTTTTTTGTTAAAAGTATACACACATATACACCCACATATATAGATAACAATTTGTTACTAGTTTTTCCTACTTTTATAGCATGCATCAATTTCAGAAAAAGAAGAAAATGACAAAAAATAGATTGTTTGCCTATGCCAAACCCTCAGTTGATGTAGCGGTACTCCTTTGCAGCATATATATATATATATATATAATATATATATATATATATATATATATATATATATATATATATATATATATATATATATATATGTATATATAGCGGTACTCCTTTGCAGCATATATATATATATATATATATATATATATATATATATATATATATATATATATATATATATATATATATATATATATATGTATATATATATCTCAGGGGCTATTCTAGACCGTTGTTGACAGCATTGACCGTATTTGGGCACCAATTTGGGCACCACCTAAATTAATATTTCAGGACCTTTTTTTTTTTAACGTTTTTTACAGTAAATATTGTTTTTGTTTTTTTTTTAGAAAAAAACGCAGATTTTCAGCTAAAGATTGCCGCAAAGAGGGGGGGTACCACATATATATATATATATATATATATATATATATATATATATATATATATATATATATATATATATATATATAAGCCTTCTCAGGAAGCGAGTGCGACTGTCGCACTTCTTGTTCATTCACGTTTAAAGTAATTTTTTAAACACACTGACCATGGTAGTTTGCAGCGTTTCAATTATTTGTGGCAAAAGCTAAACTTATCTACTGAGAAAAAAAACAATATTTAAAGAAGGAAACAAAATTCTAACGAAATATCAAAATTTAATTAAACAAACTAGAAAAATTTAATAACTTAAAAAGTATATTATTTTTTATAACAACAATTTTATAATTTTATAATAATTGAAAGTTTTGATATGTAATTTTTTCACAATTTTTACGAAACTAATTTGCTATGTACTCTAGAACTATGAGAAATATTAATTTTTTTCTTATGTTTATTCGTTTTCATGTCTTTTAGTTTTTAAAAATATCTTTTATCTCTGTTTGAAAAAATTTATTTAAAAACTTAAAAAAATGTTTAAATAGACTCCTAAAAATTTCATTACAAAAATGTTCAGTAATATAACAATGCAGATTTTGGAGCATCGATTATTAAAGTTCATCAGGAAATAAACTATTGGGTTTAATGCACAATTTAGAGAATCCAAGAAAAGTGTAGGCTATTTCAATGGGGGTAGTGAAAACAACCAAATTTTTTATATTTGGACATTAGTATTAATGGCATTTTTTATTATTTTACATAAAAAACTTGTTAAAAAATAAAAAAAATATATGTTTTACAAATAAATAGCACTTAGTTTTCTTGCTTTCCTGTGCATTGATAAAAACAGTAAAGTTTAACAAAAACATTTGAAACACAAATTTTAAAATTGCCAATATTTCTATAATTAAGTATTTCCTTAATATACTGACTGATAAAAGTTGCAAATAAATTGTATATCAAAAAATGTTTTTTTTCTCGTTATATTCTTCTGCTTTTTTTCTCAATGTGTATTAGTTTTAGCAGTGGATAATAACAAACACCCTTAAAAAAATGCAAAACAAAAACAGTAAAATATTTAGGTATTTTTTTTTGACAAAATTTTTCTTTTTTTAATTTTCAATTTTTCTTTAGTTTTTTGTTTAGATTTCTATTTTGTATAGTATTTATTTCCTTTTTCAAGTATTACTGTTTTATTCTCTGTTATATATTGCCACAAATTCTTAAAATGCTTGCCATATAAAAATATGATGAAGTTACCTAAAATAATTGTAGAAATGAAGCGGTTGTCCAATCTTTATGTTCACTGCACTATTGAAGCTTATGCACAATGTTGAATTTTGGTAGAAAAGGCTTCTTGACAGCCCAATAAAAATCTAATTTTTCTCCTTGACTTTCGATAGAAATGACTTCCTGATAGCCTAATGAGGATCTAATTTATTCTACTTATCTAAACAATGAATTAAAGTTTTTCTTGAGATGTTGGTAATACTAGTTTTTTAATTTTATCTCATCTGTAGAAATGCGGCGATTTTTAAATGCAGCTTGAACAATGCATCTATATTTTTTTTGTGTATTTTTTTTTCTTCTTGATCCACATCTACAAACTGTTTTACAGGTTTCATTATACTTTTTTTCTCCACATCCAATCTTGCTTGCAATTTCTCTATAAGTCATTCCAAATGACAACCTCTTAAAAATTTTTCTTTTATTTACATCTTTCAGGACCATTTTATATATCTAATCTTAAAAGTAAAAAATTAGCATATTACATCATTAATGAATACATATTAGATTTTTTTTACATATACAGGGTAAGGTTTAGATTTATCCTGTCTACATGCAGTTTATATTTTTATTTTATTGAAAAATAATAAAATACTTCGAGAGTAATTTAACTGTTATTATGGAATTTAATTAAAAATGTTTATTGCATTATAATCCCAATAAATATTAAACTTATAAACCATAATTTGTGACACAATTTTTTTTTAAATAAATAGCAAACAAAATATTTTGCAATTGGGTCATTCCATGCTAAATGGACCAAAATTATAGGATTTCAACATAGACCACCTCAGATTTTGATGAAACTTAGTGGGTTTGTTAATATCAATGAAAAAAGCAATTCCTGAAAATTTCAGCATAAAATCTTTTGTGGTTCATGAGATATGGTCATTTGAAATTAAAACATATTAAAAAATATACACACATATATATAAATATAGGCCTTGGCGAGAGTAAATGAGCACAAGAGTGCTCATTTACTCCTGCCAAGGGAGTAAATGAGCACTCTTGTGCTCATATACTCTTTAATGATAATTATACTTTTAAGAGGTAAAAATTCTACTTTTGCGAGAGCTGTAAACTGCTCCTGTATATGGTTTTAGAGGATTGGGGGGGAGAGTAAGAGCTAAAACTCTCGCTTCCCGCCGAGGCCTGTATAAAGTATAAAGTATAATCCTGTTAACTTGGATATATATTTATTTTCCGACTTTGCGAATGTCCGAATTAAGCAAAGGTCTCGTTAAGTCGAACTTTTTGAAAATATCCGACTTATTGAGATTTTGAGACTTAACGAATGTTCCTTGAAATATAAATATTATGTACATATATATAGAACAATATAGTCTTATGTGAAATATATATTTTTGCATATATAATATATACTATAAACGAAAAAAGTCCGAATTTGATGTTTGTTTCAAAGTTCTACTAGATTCTAGCTTTCTTTTAGCAACCTTGGTCGTTTTTAGTAAATAAAACTTGATCGAAGTATAACCGAATTGAAGATATTAGTGAAAATATTTAGTTTGTTAAATTGTGTTTGATGCAAAAGTAATTAGTTTTCGAACGTTCTAAGTTTTGTATTTTAATTTAATTTTGATTTTTTAAATTTTTAATGTAATAGTTATTAACAAATAGAATTTAATCGAAGCTTAAATGATTCAAAAGAACTCCGTGAAAATCTTTAGCCATGTTTAATTATATTTGATGCAAAAGTGTTTAATTTTCGGGCGTTTACAGTTTGGAATTTTTATTGAAGTATATGAGGTTTGTTATATGTACTTATGCAATTCAAAATACTAATCCTAGTTAAGCGAAGTTTATTGCCGAAGGGACCTCAAAAAATAGTACAAGTTAGCAAATGGTCTGATTTATCTAGGGTACAACTTAAGCTGATGATTTTACAGTAAGTTGATAGAGAATGTTCAAGGGGAATTAAAATTCTGTTCGACTTAGTAAAAGTCCAACTTATCCAGTGTCTGAGTTAACAGGATTCAACTGTATATATATATATATATATATATATATATATATATATATATATATATATATATATATATATATATATATATATATATATATATATATATATATATATATATATATATATATATATATATATATATATATATAAATATATATATACATATATATATATATATATATATATATATATATATATATATATATATATGTATAATGTATATATATATATATATATATATATATATATATATATATATGTATAATATATATATATGTATATATATTATATATATATATATAATATATATACATATATATATATATATTTATATATATATTTATATATATATATATATATATATTTATATATATATATATATATATATATATATATATATATATATATATATATATATATATATATATATATATATATATATTCTGATTTTGCTTCATTTTCGAAACAAGAGTAATTATTATATTCCTATATTAAAATTTATAGTAATGTATATATATATATATATATATATATATATATATATATATATATATATATATATATATATATATATATATATATATATATATATATATATATATATACATACATATATATACATATATATATATATATATATACATATATATATATATATATATATATACTTATATATATATATATATATATATATATATATGTATTTATAGTAATGTAAATTGACTTAGTGAAAAACTTTTTTCACGAATTTTAAAAGTTGAGGTTATAATATTATTAACATTTAGTTACTCGAAATGGTGTTAGATTTCCTCCACCAGTTGTTTGTGATTCGCCAATTGAATATAAGAATGGAGCTATTGTTTCTATGTAAGAGTTTTTATTTAGTTTGTTTTGAATATTTTTTATATACTGATATACATATACAGGGTATACCCATATTAAAGCATGATTTTATTCAAATAGAAAACTTAAAAGTTATTTGTTTTAGATTTTAATTTTTATTTATTTCATAAAATACATAGGATAAAGTTATTTATGAAATAAGACAAACAGCCTCCATGGTTTTATCGGCACACTTTTGTAAAATTTTTCATAATCATTTTACATAAATATAGTTGAATTTTCTTAATGACAGGTTTTTTTTTGTAATTCACAGGTGGTTGTGGGCTATTTGACATGGACCTTTGACTTCAAATGTAACCTACCATTTAACCCTAACCTCTCAGCTCCCTTTTCTGTTTGATTTTTTTGAATTTTACAAATAGTTAAATGCACTTTTTCTCAACAAATTCTCTTTCAACAAGCCTGCAAGTAACCACTATATAAGTTGCAAGTTAATAGAAAGCAAAACACAGTCAAAGATCAAGTAAGAAAGTGGTCAGAAGACTTAAAAAAACTGTAAGTTATGATTCAGTTAAATATGAGATAAATAATTAATTCAGTAAATATATGAGATAAATAAATAAATTATATGAAAAATATAAAGAGAATGGAGAAAATTTCAAAGCACCCATGTTCAAAGAAATTAATTAGATGTTTTAAAGTTTTTTGAGACTAAAGGAACAGGAAGTTTTTTGAGAATGAAGGAACTATGGGACTTTGCTGAAAAAGATTCAAACAAGATTGTGGGAACAATTAATAATAGGTTACTTGAGCAGTAGAAAATGGCAAGTACAATAAAGATTGGCAACTTTAGCAACTTTAGCTTTAACTAACAATAAATTAAATAAATGAGAAGTCAGTGTTGAAGAAACTTTTGCCAAGAAGTTGTAAAGTAGTGGAGTATTGCCATTCATCCATTGTGATATTTTCTAGCAGTAAATAACTTCTTGTTTAAGGTTAAAATCGATCAGCTACTGTGACCATTAAATTGACTAGCTAATGTGAGTCTTATGCTGTCAAAGTAGAGACATCATAATCAAGATTGGCTGCCTGTTCTAATCAATTAAAATGTGATGACTTTTTGTTAAGATTAGAGTATATAGTTCTGTCATTAGTAAATAAACTTTAAGTTACCAGGAAGATCATTGTTATAGAAATAGAGCAAGACAGGACCAGTAGTAACCCAGAAGGTACTGGAATTGAAAGAGAGTGTTGTCTATTTGTCATTTGGTAAAGTTATTGTAAAATTGTCAAGAACAATTATATACATTCAGGTCTTGGCGGAAGTAAATAAGAAGAAGAGCAGAGAAAAACTTTCCTAAAATGAGCGTGGCGAGCCATGCAAGCTGCTCCTCTAAACAGTTTTTTGCAACAACTTTCAGTTTTTGCGAGACTGTTTATTCATGAAATAAAATGTCTATTAAATTCAAAATTTGATTTTATAAATTTATATATAATACATATATAAAACTTTACCCGCAAATTATAATTAAAATCATTATATTAAAAGCATAGAACAGTAATACATGTTCATACACAGGTCTGAGAAATAAATTGAACTCTGATAGCATGCCCCACAACAATAAAATAAATATACTAGAAAGGTTACAAAATAAGGAAATAAAGTACATCAAGGAAATAAAGTGCCAAAAACAAAAACTGTTACACAAGAAGCAGTTAGCTGGAACAGTATTTTTCAAAATTAATAGAGTTAATTTTTACTTTAAAGCTCTTGATATTATTGGCATTTAAGATATCAGATTACAAGTTATTCCAAATATTAACTCTGAGAGAGAAAGATTATTTGCAAATATTAAGTTGGCATTTAATTTGTGGGTTGGAAATTTATTTTTATTTTAAATTTAAATTTATTTAGTTGGAGTTTAATTGTAAACTAAATAGAAATTTGAGACATGAAGACAAACTAAGTTGTTCAGAGTTTTTTAACATTAAATTTAGTCTTACTTTAGATGAATTTTGTGTAATTCCAAATCGAGTATTGAAAGTCTGTTAAAAATGAAAATTTACTTAAGTTGGTTAGTTATTAGTAAAACCTTGGACTTTTTTGACTGCATTTATTAATTCAGTGCAATAAAGTGACCAGACCAGAGAGCAATATTCTAAAATAGGACTTATGTTAGCAGTAAAGGTTTTTATGAGAACATGTGGATCACAATTTTTAAAACAATTAAGTATTAAATATCCTCTGATGTTAGGTGCACAGACAGCTTTTGAAATATGATTTTTGTAAATTTATTTTTGTAATTTAGAAAAAATGTTCTTAGTCACATTATAGACTTTTGGATTATTAGATCAAGTTAAATTATGAACTCATAATTCATAATTAAAATTTATGTTTACAAAATGAAGCAGGTGCTGTTCTAAGTTTAAAAAACTTACTGCTGGCAATTTTCCACAACCATTGTTTTTTTCACAGCCAATTTTTCTGACCAGATAAAAACTTTGTTAGTGGCAAGAGCTTGTTGGTGGCAAGAGCTTGTTGGTGGCAAGAGCTTGTTGGTGGCAAGAGCTTGTTGGTGGCAAGAGCTTGTTAGTGGCAACAGCTTGATACAAACTTTAACCACAACTTATTAATGAAAATCATTTTTGAAAAATCCAAAATGGCATGATTTGGCCACTTAACGAAAAATCCTAATTTAAACAACAAAACATTGCAATACATGTTTAAGAAATTAATGAAAGTTGCAAATCACAAAACTAGATTATCAAATAAAATGCAAAAAAAAATTAATAAGACCTATAAATTTGTGAACTTTATTCAAGAATTACTCATACAAGATACACACTATATGTGAGAATCAGCAATGTGGCTTTAAAACTTTAACTAAAATTTATTAATGAAAATCATTTTTAAAAAATCAAAATATAGCGTAGTTAGGCCACTTAACAAAATTTAAACTACACTTAAATATAATTTAAACAACAAAACAATGCAATGCATGTTTATGAAATTAAAGGAAGTATGTTTCAAATCCTAAAATTCGATTTTTAAAACAAAGTATAAAATACAAATACAATAAAATACAAAAATTCCAAAATACACCAATTGGTTACAAAAATTGCTAACCAATTGCAAAAAGCATTTAAATCTTTATAATGGTATTTAGATGCCACCTGTTCTGTTAATCATTTTCTTAGAGTTTTTTACTGAGTCTTATCATAGTTTTTACTTGTCTTATTATAGTTCATTACATTAAAAGGATAATGTCCTTGATCAGGTTGTGCAGGTTGTTGAAAGAAAACAATAAGCTGTTCTTCACTTACTACTGCACGGTTCTTTAAAATGTTCTGACCTATTCTCTGTAAAATTAGTTTGTGGTGTTCAAAAATCCATAAACCTTATCTTGCCCAGAGAAGTTCACTTTTTGTGAAGGATATATTTGATGAAGTGTTTAAACGCAACCAGATCCCAAAGCTCTATATCCTGGTGAAGAAGTGCTTTGCCATTGCTTTTGAGTAATAACAAGCTTACTCAGCAGAAATAGCAGTTCAACAAGATGTTTGAATATTTTTGGTCTTACCACATAGTTAATTTCTAAGAGTTGATCTGGAAACTTTGTTGGTCTCAGAGATCCTTTTAACTGGAATATCAGCAGCAATGGCTTTCATAGCCTTGTCCACTTGCTCTATAAGGTAGTTACTGTGTGTGTAACCATTCTTTTGTTTGCATATGTATGTCATTACACATACAAACCAATGAAGTTTAGTAGATTTTAGTGAAAAACTGATAAATATGCTAAACTAGCCATATTACCCCATCTGATATTATATATATAAATTAGTAAAAGGTCTTATCTAAATATCTTCTATAATTTAAACATTATTTTTGAACGTTCATTTTGATGAGTCTTAATTGATGAAACACAGTGTAAAATGAAAAAAATTTGACATGTTTACAAAAAAATTAATATAAAGTCATTAGATTAGTTTACAATTTACTTGCCTATTAGCCACTCTTTACAACAATAACCGCCATACATATTCTTTGCATTCTACTTATCGACTTAACCAATTTGTACATTAAGTTAGTTGCACATTAAATTAAATGCACACTAAGTTAATTGATCAACAAATAGCAAGCTGATGAAGAAAAATCAACTTGTACCTTGAAACAAATAAGCCACTACTAAGCATTAAGGGGATTACGAGTCTTAAGAGAATACAATGGTGCAAAAAAAGAGCTGTATAGATTGTATAGCAATGGACAAAATTAGTTTTCTCAGACGAGTTGAACTTTGAACTTATCAATCGGAAGAAAAGGATTTTAGTAAGGAGACAAAAAGAACAAGAATAAAAAATACAATCCTTGTTTTATCATGTCAAGACTCAAGGAGGAGGAGGAGGCTCAATTGAAATTTATATATTTAAAATATAAAGCATAAAACAATAGCTAACAATAATTATAACCACAAATAAGTAGCGTCCTCGTCTGTAGTGGCCTTCTTGGCCTTGAGGAGGTGAATTAAAAAGAAAAAAAACAATAATAAAAAAAAACTGCATACAAACTCAATTTTTTCTTTGCATTATTTCGACCTGTTTTTGCACAAATCGTCGTCAGACGTAAAATATAATACAAAAAACCGTTATATAAATATTACATAAAAATGTAAATATTACATAAAAACGTCAAAGAAGACATTAAAAAGAAGCCATAATTGATACGTAACAATGTAAATATATAATTAGCAAATATAGTTTAAGTCCGTTTTTTTGGATAATTTTTTTAAAAAAAGGTTCATTGTATTCTGATTTTATAGCTAGAGTTTTTAGATTTGACCAATCAAACATACCATTACATTCTCTGCCGTGTTCAGTTGCACCAGATGCATCCCATTTACCTTTTAAATAGTTTTTTTGATGTTCAATGCATCTGGTTAAAATTTTCTTTTTTGTTTCGCCAATGTATATACTGCCACCAGAGCATGTGAGTTTGTAGACATCGGAATCGCTATATAAATTAGTAGAAAATCACTTAACAAATATTTTTTTATTTTAAATTTTTTTATTTTATTTTACACTGTGTTTCATCAATAAAGACTCATCAGAAATGAATGATCAAATTAATGAAACTTCAATTTATACCAAAAAAATTAAATTACAGGAAGTCGCAAATGTTTTAACTACTGTAAATTTTCACACATTTGTGGAATTTGCTGACACTTTTATGTGTAATTTTTTTAAATTTTTCTTGTAGACATAGTATGCATTTTTTGGAAATATTGTTGTATGCAGGTGCTGTTTTAAGGATGGACCAATTCAGTATAAAATCATCAATATTTTTATCTTTTAGTTTCCATATATATCTTGGTGTCTTTTGAATACTTTTTTTTAAAAAGATTGCTTATGATTGACCAAACTTTTTTTCCATTCACCCTCTGTTATGCCTATATATTGTTTATCGGGTACATTCTTAGAGGAAACAACACATTTATATACTACATTTTTTGATAAACAACTTCCACTCATTGGACAATTGTTTTTTTTTGTTTACAATTACAATTTTTTGTAGTTTTTATATTTAGGATTTCTATTTTATTTAACAAATCATTATTATGACCTTTTATAATTCTTTCCATATTTTATGTGCAATTGTAGCTAACTTTAATTGTATTTTTGATTAAAAATTTTATGTAATTTATTAGAGGGAGGGAAATGCTTATCGACCAATTTTAAAAACACTTTTCCTATGTTAGTGGAAACATTTTTGCTATATGGGGGGTTGAACCAAATTACATTTCTAGATATATCTATAGATATATCTGTACCAGTTTTATATATATTAATGCACTGACATCAATGCCCAAAATCATTTTGGCTTAACTTTTAGATAAGCGTTTAATATTATTCTTTTAGTTCCTAATCATAAGAGTTAATTATTTTATAACTTTGGTTTAGTGCTCTTAGATCTTCTTAATTTTATTTGTATAGCGTTACGTACAAATTTATGTAAGTGTAAACGTCTTTATGTTGAGTTTGCAGGCATTTTATGGAGTAATCGTGTTTATCTAAATATCTATAAAATGAAAAAACTTGAAAATTTCATTCTAAATTCTAGAAATCTTTCTTTTTATATTCTTATTTTTTTGCTATGAATATATAAGCAAGATTAAAAAAATTTCAAAATTTATTACGCTAAGAGGAGGTCTTAAACCCTCCAAAACAACACTGATGATAGTCATTTAACCACTGTGCTATCAATGAAATGCATTTAGCAGAAAAACAAACCTAATTATAAGCCTCTTATAAGCTCTATGTATGCAGAAAAGTGTGCGCATGTTAAGTTTTTTGCTCTTAAATTTTTTTTTCAGAATAAATTATTTTACTAAAAAATATTGAAGTAAATAAGGAATAGGTATAGAAATTTTCGGCTAGAAATAGATATGTAAATTGGTAAAGACCTGTATTTTACGGATTCTCGAATGCTAGGAAAAAGGATAGAAAAGTTAGGTTTGGAATAGATATACAAAGACCTGTATTTTTATGGGACCCGTTTCAGCTAGTTTATATTGATTATTTTCCTTAATAAATCTAAAATGTATAGTCCATCAAATTCATAAATTTCTGCTCCATCACAACTGGCCATTGCTACATCAAAGCAGTCATGTATGTTTTTTATTTTCCAAGTTTCCTTATTAAAGTAAAGTAAGATTTTTCTACAATGTTTTTTCGGATTGTTTCTTCAGGGATAACTGTGTGGCTTTTTGCAAATTCAATTGTTTTATCTAAAATATCTGCAGTTATTGAAGGGTAAAAATCATTAATGTCAAATTGAATAAATGTACAGTCATTTTTATTTTCGATTATGGAGAAACATTTTATAACATCAGTGGTATTTTTCCGCTGTTGCAAATTTAATTTATTTCTAAGAATATTATTAATTTTGTCCAATTTAAATTTGGTTACATGTCCATTTTCACTTTTTGAGGGAACCAATAATCTATAAGGAAGTTTGTTTTGAAAATTTGGTTTATGGTCTTTTATTGTTACAAAGGCTTGGGCAGGGGCAGTATATTCGATTCTGTTATCAAGGTTTATTTTTTTTAGCAATTCTTTGGGCTTCTAAATTAATTGCGTTTTTCAAACTTTTAGAGGCTTTCTCATAAGAACTAATAATATTGTCGCGTAAAATTTTTTCATAGTTTTCTGTTGTGAGTTGGTAAATGTTATTTGTTTTATCAGCAAACAAATAACATTTACCAACTCACAACAGAAAAAAATCAAAAAAAGACTGCTTTGATGTAACAATGGGCAGTTATGATGGAGCAGAAATTTGTGAATTTGTTGGACTATACATTTTAGATTTATTAAGTAAAATAATTAATATAAATGATTTAGGCAACAATGATTCAATAGTAATGCGTAAAAAATCTGGTCCACAGCTCGATAAGATTCGAAAAGATATAAAAAATTTTAAAAATATCGGCTTTTAAATCGAAATAAACATAAATTTAAAAATTGTGAACTCTCTTGATGTCAAGAAACCTTTAACCTCTCTGAAAAATCATGTAAGCCTTTCAAAAAACCAAACGATGAATTATTGTATATTAATATTAACTCAAATCATCCACCACAAATTCTAAAACAAATCCCGATTTCAATTAATAACAGGCTAAACCAAAACTCCTCTAATGAAAATGTATTTAATTCTTCCAAACGAATATTTGACGATGCCCTTAAAAAAAAAGGTTTTGAAAAATTTTGAACTAAAATTTGACTCTGAAAAAAAGAATACAAAAAAGCGTAATAGAACTAGAAATGTAATTTTGTTCAACCCCCCATATAGCAAAAATGTTTCCACTAACATAGAAAAAGTGTTTTTAAAATTGGTCAATAAGCATTTCCCTCCCTCTAATAAATAACATATAATTTTTAATCAAAAATACAATTAAAGTTAGCTACAATTGCACATAAAATATGGAAAGAATTATAAAAGGTCATAATAATTATTTGTTAAATAAAATAGAAATCCTAAATATAAAAACTACAAAAAATTGTAATTGTAAACAAAAAAAACAATTGTCCAATGAGTGGAAGTTGTTTATCAAAAAATGTAGTGTATAAATGTGTTGTTTCCTCTAAGAATGTACCCGATAAACAATATATAGGCATAACAGAGGGTGAATGGAAAAAACCTTTTGCCAATCATAAACAATTTAAAAAAAAAAAAACTATTCACCATATGTATATGTATATATATATATATATATATATATATATGTATATATATATATATATATATATATATATATATATATATATATATATATATATATATATATATATATATATATATATATATATATATATATATATATATATATATATATATATATATATATATATATATATATATATATGCTTGTCAGGTTTGGGGACAAAGCAAGTCTCATGCTTTTTGAAGATTATCTAACCTACAAAACAAGGCTTTAAAAATAATTTACTTTTAACAATATCATTCTCATTCTGACATCCTTTACTTTCTATCAAAAATACTCAAATTTTGTGATCTTGTTTATCTATTAAATTGTCTATTTGTATGGAATCATAAACCTTCCTCCGTCATTCTCCAATTTTTTCATCAATAAAATAAGTTCTTGTTATTATCTTCGATTTTTTAGTAACTTTAAATTATCTATCCCAAATCGCTGTTCTGTCACAAACCAATGCATGAAATCGTGGAATAATTTAGCTCTTTATTTTCAATCACTTAACTCAATCTCACAATTTAAAAAACATCTTTTTGGCTATTTGTTAGAAAAATATTGTGTGTAAAATGTTAAGCTCATTGTAGATTATTATTGCTATTGTTATTAGTATTATTATTATATGTGATGTTAATATTATTTACATTTTATTTACATTTTGTTTACCAACATTATTACTTATTAATATTGTTTAATATTTATTTGTGATATTTAATAATATTATTATTACCATTATTGTTATTATTTTTATTGTTGTTGTTGTTGTCGTTATAATTAATAATATAATCATTACTATCGCCATTATCTAATAGTATTATTGTTATTATTATAATTCTCTTTGTTAAATTTACTTATATATAATATGATTGCTATTATTATTTAATTGGTGTTTGCCTTAGTACTTATGCTATTTGTAAATAACCATGAAATGTAAAAACTTTTATTTCAGAATATATTGTTATTGTTATTGGTATATACCCTGTAAAAGACAATACAAGTACAACTTTATGAGCAATTTCACTGCCTTAGTTAAAGAAAAGTTTGCCAGACACACAGACAGACATTCAGGTCCCTTAAACCCCTTATTAGATAAAAAAAATCTCAACTCAGTATTTTTTATGTGCTGTGGTTATCCTTTGTGAATAATTGTCCAATATTTAGTACATGCTGAAGTCCATTTTCTATTTAATGGGTCCCTAATATTATAAAAAATAGTTCTTTAAAAATTGGTCAACCTGGTATTCAAATAAAGCAAGTTTATAAAAGTTTATAAAATTTCTAAAAATGGTAATCGTTTTGGTAAAAGTATTAATAAAAAAATTTGTAAAATTTTCTGTTTTTTATTTTTAATTCAAAAACTATAGTTTTTATGACTTAAATTTAAAAAAAAAGAATGTTTACATAATAACTATTATTTTTTAAATTTTTATAAAGTTTAGCTTCATACCAAGTTTAGAACTTTTTTTTTATAACATTAGGGACCCGTTAAATGTGCTAAATATTGGAAATATTTAAATTGTTATTATTATCATTATTATTATTGCTATTATTATTATTGTTATATAGTTATTGTAATACTAGGAAGTAGTTTTACTTTTTATTAAAATTTTTTTCTCAAACTAGTCATAATATTATTGTATTTTTTTTTTTTCTGTTTCAAAGTTGATTTTATTTTTCACAGAATATTATGTGGATTGCTTCTATTACTAACTGTCTTTGGTACTTTGTTGGATGGTAAAACTCTACCAAAGCTTAAACATACTGAACAAGACAAAGTACTCTTAGTTAATGATGTTGAGCACCATGATCCTTCCAATAGTATTCTTTTTTTATTTTGTTTGACAAGTATTGCTTAGTATGAGTTTTTTTTTTTTTTTTAAATATACCACAGTTCAGAAATTTAAGCTTCAAATAAAACTAAAATAAAAATAAAACCCCTCTCAATCAGAGTACGCCAAAAAAAGTTAAAAGAGTTGCAGTTAAATTTTATCTTTAAAAAAATCTGGGAAGTGTTACCTTCCCAGATTTTTTTAAAGATAAAATTTAATTGCTAAAATAATTTTAATAATAAAAAATGAAAGGAACTACAAATTTTCCCTATCATGATCAATTCAGACAAACAATTCTTTTTCAAGTCTTACCATCTTTCTTACCAGAAGACATTTATAAAATAATGACAGCTGATTTGAATTTGAATCTTGGGTTATTTTAATGACAATTTTTGAAAAAAATTGTCATTAAAATAACCCAAGATTAACTTTTTTTTATATACTTAAAAAAATTAAAATTATCGACAGAAAGGTGAAGTTTATTATAAAATAACTTGTTATTTTATAATAAACAGTTTTACAAGTAATTTTTAGCTTAAAATTTCACGAATTTCATGGATAGATATATGTTTAATGGTTTATAAACTCTTTGAATTGAAGAAGTATTCTTTTGTATTCTTTTGCTTATTTTTTAATGTTTCTTGCTGTACTGAAAGACTGCAATCTGTTTATTACACTTTTATATGGTAAAAATTGAATATCGGCTCATTAAACTATCCAAGGCAGTAGCCACTCACAATGCTTCCAGGTGTGCAATTACATTATTTACCTTCCAGGAAACCGCCAGCTGTTTACCTAAAAACTAAATAAACTTATTATTAATTTGATTTATTATTAACTTAGTTTAAAATGTTTAAAGAAAACAACAATTACAACTCTACAATAGTCTTGTGCATCCTTGTACTTTTGAGTAAAACTTCCAATCAAAACTGAATAGTTAACATCCATAAACATTATGAACAACCTTAATAAACTTTCTTGTTGTTTCCAAGGAGGGGGGGAAGTACAGTTAATTAACAGGCATTATCAACTCAGGTTTGTCACAACTTTCAAGTATTTCTCATTTAGGCATGTTTCCTTCAAATGTTTCTGTGTGATAATCTTTGTAAAGGGATCTAATGCTCTTGACTCAATCAGTAAATTCTGATCAAAGTTGCATTGATCATTTTAGATGGTTTACAAATCTCATTAGAAGCTGAAGATCTGGTTCTTTATTATACTTAGGGGTTTGTCATTATCTTGAGCAGACAAAGATTGACAACATTCTAAATGTTACATAACCTTTTATCCTTTTTAAAATAATAAATTTATGATAAATGATAAATTTTAAATTTATTTACTATTATTTATTCCTTACAAAATGTTAATTAACTTCATGTCAGAAACCAATAAGTGCTTGCATTCATGCAACTTTATTTTCTTGGCTGTCTTTGTCATGTTGGAATGATTCTTATTAAAATGATTCTTACAGATTTACTATAACCTTCAATGGTCATTTGCTTATAAATATATACCTATATATATACATGCATTCATACATACAAATATACAAACATACATACATACATACATACATATATACATACATACATACATACATACATACATACATACATACATACATACATACATACATACATACATACATACATACATACATACATACATACATGTATAAATACATATATAGATAAATACAGGGTTGCCAGAACTTTCTACATGTTAAATGCCAAAAGTTTGGTTGTAAAATGCCAAATTATGAAAGCTATTTTTTGTTTTTTTTCAAATTTTTATGAAATCATATAAGATATAATAGGCTCTTTTAAATTTTTTTAATCTGAAAAAAGTGTTAATGCATTGGACACTCTAGGTATTGTGTTGGAGGAGGGGGAATGGGGGGGGGGGGCGGGTAACACATCAGACACATTACGTATTAATGGGGGAGGGGGGGAGGACAGGGTAGCCATGCGCCCACTAAATCCAAAACTGTGCTGTATAGGATTTTGCTTACTTAAAGAAAAAAAAGGTCTTTACTCTTGGTTAAAATAAATTTGCTCTCAGCAAGATTTGTGTTAGTCTTGAAAGGTAAGCATTAGTTAGGTTTACCTTTAATGCTTTCAAAGAAGCATTTTAAACTAGTATTTTTTTTTTAATATTTTTATTAAAAAATCTACTTATTATTAAAACTTTTATAAATTTGCCAAGCGGTGATGATCAGTGAATCCTTATAGAAAAATGAAGTACATTACAGTGGAGAAAATAGAATTAGTCAAACCATGAACTGATCCAATATTTTGTAAATCTGTAAGCAAATTTGTGCAATGCATATTTTGTATCCATCCAAACTTATAGGATTCTTATGATGTTGATATTTAAATACATAATTACAGAGTTTGAAAAGTTGGTATATGAATAAATATTTAATGATAAATTTCACCTTTCTGTCAATATATTGATATTTGTTGATATTTAAATACATAATTACAGAGTTTGAAAAGTTGGTATATGAATAAATATTTAATGATAAATTTCAGCTTTCTGTCAATATATTTTACTTATCTTTAACTTAACTGTTTTCACCTTTCTGTCAATATATTTTACTTATCTTTAACTTAACTGTTTTCGGTATTCTGAGGACTTTGAGCATAAACTTTTTAGAGTACTTTAAGTAAAAACTTTGTTGAGGTACTCTGAGTGTAAACCTTAAATTTCTGACCTATGATATACATGCCATTAAAATTTTGTGGACACAAAAGCAAAAAAATCTAATTGCAAAAAAAAAAAAGAGGAAGAAATTAAAGTGTACTATTAAAAATTTAAGTATAATAATTTTTTTCATTCAAATGGTTTTCAAGTTAATGTTTTCATTTTTTCATTCAAATTGTTTTGAAACAAAAAGTGAAAAAAAAAAAATGATCCTATAAATCGAATTATATTTCCTTAAGTTTCAATATATGCTTAAATTATTTTTTTAGAAAAAAATTTCTTTGAACAGAAGTAAAATAATTTTTTTTTAATTCAAATTTTTTATAGTTTAATTTTGATTTAACATTTGCAATAATCATTGGTTTAATGTTTGCAATAGAGTTTCTAATTTTAAAACTATTTTCAAGAAACAAAAAAATAATTAACTACTCAGTGTAGTTAAGGCCATTCACAAATTATTATATGCCCAAGAGCTTCAGATGTTATAATTTTTTTTGCTTCAGATTTTTTTAATATTTAAAGGAATTTTTTTTTATATATAATTTTCAAAACCTTTTTACCGCCCGTAACAGTGAATCTAAAGAACATCATTTTCGAGTCTTTAAATTACTTTTGCTCATCGGCGTTAACATGAATTTAGTTAAAATTTTTTGAAAAAGTGTCTTAACCCACTATAGATTCTAGTTCTAATTGGTTTTGACGTATATTAACTATATATAGTTGTCAATATACAATATTTCTATCAATTTTCACAAAAAATACAAGAATTCCAACAAAGCAAGAGCATATAATTAAGAAAAATTGCCAATAAACGATAAGAACGTATCTTATTGTTAAACTATGATGTTCATTTTACCTAAAAAGCATATTTACTTAAAATCTTTTTCAAATTTGAGCGATCATTATTTCAATAAGATTTAAAAAAAAAAGAATCTTCGGTCTGGGTTTTTTCACTACAAACATTTATATTTTATGATACCTCAAAACTTATCATTTTTATTTTTTGTTGTATTTTCATAATTCACAGACCTTATCATTTAACGGAAATATGTTGTATTCAACTAAATATCATACAGACGTTATGATATTATAAATTTGCCTTAACTACATTGAGTATTAAAAAAGTTTATGATTTAAATAAAACTTTCTTCCTCACTTGCACTATGTTCTAAATCTGTTACTGTAGCTAGATATATTTTTAACTTTCAGGAATGATCCTTGGGTATTACAGATGCTGCTGCAATTAAATTATTGAGTGTTTAAGTGCTTTTAAATTTTTATAATTTCAATCGCAAAATGATTTGAATAAGAGAATTTTGGAAGACTAAAATTCTATTTTTCAAAGAGATTTAAAAAAAAAAAAAAAATCGTAAATACAACTTGTGTATTTATAGAAAATGTTTAATCTTGATATCGCTTTAAATAAAATGAAAAAATAAAAAAATGGTATTGTGTTTTTCATATTCTATTTGAGATTTCTTGTTATAATAATTTTTAGTTAGGAGCTTATATTATGCATAAGCAACATAAGATATAGAAACATTTATATTAAGTATATTAAATATATTTAATAGTTAAGTAACTGTAGTAACCTAACTGGTTGTTTTGATTTAGTTTAAAGGTAAATTTACTGTGGTGTACTTTATCCATTCAGTAAATCAAACTAAATATAACTTTAAAATATTATTGGCTTCCACGCAGAGATAAAGTAATTTAAATTCAAAAGCACTTTATGTTGAATAGAAATTTCTGCGCAAGAGAGCAAATAATCATAGTATCTATTCAAAAGATAAATTTAGCATGATGCACTTTATGACCCCTAATAAAAAACTTACATTACTTTTAAAAATGGCCAAAAATAATGCTGAATTAGAAAATAGAAAAAAATAAACAAAAAACAAACAAAAAATGGCAAAAATATATATTTTTTAATTTGAGCCCTGATCAATAAGGGCTGATAAAGGTAAAGAGAAGAGGCCCTGTCAATTTCCATGTGAAAACATTCTTTTTTTTTTATAAAATGCAACCCTAAGTCTCAGATTATGATGATTTTTACACCACTCAAAGACATTAATAAGTTTAGCATCGAAAATTAACTTAAAACTATTTTTGTTTAAATTTTTCAGATTGAATTGTTTGTGAGTGAGTTTTTAACTCACTCGCTGTTAATGCAGCTACAGTTTTAACTACTATTGGTAGTATATTACTATTTAAACTTTGCCATGAACGAACAAAAATTCGTCATTTTAAAAAGTATATATATTTTTTGTTTCTGTTCTGTGTAAAACAGAAAGTTAAAAATATGTACATTTACATATTTTAAGGCAAGGAATCTAATAAAACAACTTAAATATTTTAAAAATAGACATAAAACCCTCGTTTATTAAGTCTTACTTGTTATGTACAAAGAAACTGTATCTGAAAACTGAAAAAATTTCAGTGATTATTTTCTAGCTTAAAAGACCGATTTTGGCCTTAAAAATTAGAAAATATAAACTTAAAGAAACAAAAGTATAAGTTCCCACTCACCTGTTTATTAAGACTCCCTTTCCTTTCCCCCTTCCTTACCCCCCATCCTTCCCCTCCCTTCTTCCCCCCTTCCCTTCTTTTCCCATATCCCCCCTCCCCCATAAATTATGTCTAGATAAAAATTCCCACCCATCCTTTTTTTCCCACCCCACCTTGTGTTAAGCACCTAAGAGTTACTTAAAAGTAATGAAGCTGAAACAGCTTTGGCCATATCAAATTGTTCCTTTTATTGTTGTTGACTCGTTTTTTGTATTTTTTTAGTAGTTTCATAAAATTTGATCTTAAAGTTCTAAAGTTTATTTAAATTTTACTGTAGTTGAATTTAATTATAAAAATGCAGATGTATAGGTTGAATTTTTTTTTCAAAATTTATCACAATGAATCAGATTGAGGTTTTTTCTAAAACTGAAATAAAAAATATTGTCTGAAATACATCATTAGTAGATAAATTTAAAGAGGGAAAGGCTTAGAATTATAATCTGGCTTTTTTATTTAATGTTTCCAAATATTTTATTAAATTTTTATTACTATACTAAAAAAGTTTTGACTTACTAAATTACTTCTAAGGAATAATAAACTGTTGTTTTTTTATTGACCAGTGGCTAACAATTGGTCGAGACAATTATTGGTAAAAATATCTATATTTAATAAAGTTGCTTACCATCACCTTCTACATTTTATTATTTTATCACTTTCTACATTTTGGGTGCTACAACATGTTTTATATGATGGAGCATTTATTATTTTCTTTAATTTAACATTTAATAGTTTATAAAATTGAGCCAAAAAGGTTACTAATAATCAGAATGATTATTATGTTCTGAATATGAATATGAAGCAGGTATAAACAATCTACCTCTGTTTATTTTTTTTTACCTAAAAAAGAAAACTCCAGTCATAATACAGCAGTTTTGGCAGGTGTTATTGCTAATTCAGGAGGTGATGTTTTGGTTGTATTTATATGTATATCTTTTTCAATTGTATTTAGTTTTGTGGAGGAAGTTGTAACTAAAGGAGGAGAAATTATTATAAATACATACTGGTTACTTTTTCATACTTTATTTCATACTGGCATTTTTCATACTTCAATCAATAGACAAATTAAGTTTTTTTCCAGATGTAATAAATGAAGGAAGATAAGGAAGGAAGGGGTGCGGGGAGATTAATAAACAGGTGTAGTAGTTTTTATTTTCATTTTTTAAAGTGAGTTTATATTTTTTTAAATCTAAGCCAGTCTCAAAAATTAGAAAATAATAACTAAAAAAATATTTTAATTTAATTTTAGGATACAGTTTGTTCATAACAAGTAAAGTTTAATAAATGCGGCGAGGGGGTCTTAATAGGCTCAGGTGGGAAAATTTTCAGAAAATTAATAAACATCAGCTTCTGTGTATTAAGCCCTTAAGAGTACCACCTTTTTTTTTGTTTCATAATTTTTTTTCCACCTTTTTTTTTCTTTGATTTTTCATAATTCCTGTTTTATTAGTAACAAATTTAAGGAAAATTTGACCTTGTTTATTTTTTTCTGTTTAAGAAATGATCACTCTCCAATTCTTTGTAAAAACTCTAACTAAACTATTCCGGATGACATCTAAAAAAAAAATTGGTTCATGGAAAAGTATTAGTAGTTATATATTTGAAACCATTTGGATTATTTAGTGATAAAAATTTAGTTACTCTAATAAAGCGAACAAAGCATTTTAGTGAGTCTTGTGACAATGTGACAATACTGTCCAGAATACTGAGAACTAAATTGGTGATCTTTTTTCATGGTGATCAACCACCATAATAGTTTATAAGTTTAAATAATTATAATTAATAATTTATATAAATAATTTAAGTCTATCTTTTGTTACTTAATTGTTCAAAGATTTGATTTTTCTGTTTTTAATTGTTTTAGATAAAAATGTAAAGACATTCTTTGATTGCTTTTCTCTCACTAAAAATGTTCCAGTGATCTTATCCACAGAAACTAAAAAAGGTGCTATTGAGTCATTGAATGGGATTCGTGTCCTAAGCTTGACATGGGTTATTTTAGGTCATATGTATTTTATACCGATTCAATCACAACTGTTTGGTAATAAAACTTTTAGGAAAATTCTATTTATTATTTGTTTTTGGGTTGTTTTTTTTTTTTTACTAATAATAAAAAAAATTATCATTAAAATTATAATAAAAATCTAGTAATTCTTTTAAATAATTTTTTTTTTCCTTTTTTTATTTGAATAATTATATTTTTCATTTTTTTATTTCCAGATAACCCATTATCGTTACTGAAAACTGTTCACAGCTTTAGTTTTCTCAGCATTGGTAATGCATATGTATCTGTTGATACATTTTTTATGTTGAGGTAATATTAAAATTATTTTAACACAAAAATTTTATGATAAAATTATTTGCAAAAAAGTTGTTATCAAATGAATTATTAGGATGTCAAACTAAAACATCTAACTATATTCTGTTTATTTAATTAACATTAAACTAATATTCAAAATATCCCACTAATACTATTTTGCAGACATCTTTTATGCTTCAAGTTAATAAATGATTGCAAAATTGGATCAGATCTCTTTTCTAAATTGTATCAAGTTTTTAGGCTTTAGTCTTTTTCAAAATCTTATTCAAATCTTTTTTAATTTTTTGTCAAATAGATTTGATTGTATTTCAATTTCAAGTCAAATAGATTTAAATAGAAGTAAATATCATGTCAAATAGATTTAAATAGAAGTAAATATCATGTCAAATAGATTTAAATAGAAGTAAATATCATGTCAAATAGATTTAAATAGAAGTAAATATCATGTCAAATAGGTTTAAATAGAAGTAAATATCATGTCAAATAGATTTAAATAAATTTCAAATTTGGTAATTAATGATCAAGTTTAAATAAAGTTTTGTGGACAGAAGTAATATTTTGAGGAAACTTGAGTAATATATTGTAGATTTGCTTCAATCAAAATGCAAGTCTGTTGGTGGACAGAAGCAATATTTTGAATGAACTTGAGCAATATATTGTGGATTTGCTTCAATCAAAATGCAAGTCTGTTGGTGGACAGAAGCAATATTTTGAGGAAATATGAGCAAATATATTGTGAATTTGCTTCAATCAAGATGCATGTCCGTTGGTGGAACAACATAATTCTCTAGCGTCTTTATATAGGTGTGCTCTTTTTTTCTACAATAGAAGCATCAAAAATGAGATGACAGTGAATACAACTTCCAGCGTCCATAAACCTCAACAGTTACGCTGTTTGCGTTTGAATACAACTTCCTAATTTGTTAATATTGAATAAAAATACTTTTAAATATTTTTAATATTGTTCTAAAATACTTTTAAGAATTTTTAAAATACTTTTAAATTTTTATAATATTGGTCTAAAATATTTTTAAAACATTCATAAAGATTTTATAAAATTGACTTTTTATTTTTTTAATTTTCTTTAGACTTTTAATCTATTTTGATCATTAATAAATAATGAGGATAATTATTCTAAAATTTAAAATTTGTCATCCAACATCTTAATGATACATTTACATTGTTTATTTTATTCTTAATTACAATTATGCTTTTTTTTAAATATTATTATTCATTTATTAATATTTACTAACTAAAAGAAAAATTAACTTGCTTTAAAATTTTTTTTTTTTGCATCTTTATTTTCAACAAGGCTGCAAGCAACCACTACTAGAGTTGGAAGTTACTGGAATATAAAAGATAAAGTTTGTAGAGCAAGATAACAATCAACAGACAACTTAAAAGATTGCAAATTATATGAATCAGGAAAACAAGATGATGGAAGCGAATTCCAAAGAGCTGATGTTTGAGGAAAAAAACTAGACAAATAAGATATTTTAGAGCACTTAGGAAAAGTCACAGAGAAAGGATGAGACTTGAATGACGAGTAACACAATAATGAATTTTAGTAGATAACACAAGAGATGCTAGCTCTTTAGAGCAGTGCTCATTATAGTATTTGTAGAAAAGAGAAGCAAGATTTTTAGAGAGAGAAGCAACATTACGATGATGTGAAAATGCATTGTAAACTATGTTTACAATGCATTTTGTCTAAAAGAGAAAGGACATCATTAGAAGATCTACCCCAGATATGGTAACAGTATTCCATACATGGATGAATTTGAGATTTATTAATTTGAGATAAAGAATAGAATCCGCAGTAAGAAAGTGTCAGGTAAAGAGATGCATCCTTAGCAAATGCTAACTTTGCATTGGATTTGATATATAGTTTCAAAGAAAGATCGGAAGTAAAAGTTAGACCTAGAAGATGAAGGGTAGATGACTTATCAAGTACATTATTGTTCACAAATAGGAAGATCTAAATTATTGCGATAACGGTTGGCTGAAAAAAATTAGGTTTTATCTGAGCCCCATGCTTTAGCAGAAGTAAGATCCTTTTCAAGCTCAAATGCCCTCTCCATGCAATCAGAGAGTGTTGGCTTCTTATCATGACAAGAATAAATGGTAGTATCAGGGAACAATGCCACCTTAGATGTGAGAATATCTGGGAGATTGTTAATGTAAATTAAGTATAGGGCCAAGGATTGAACCTTGAGAAATCCTTGAAGTTACAGGATATGAAGAAGAGCGCTGTCCATCAAGGACAACTTTTAAACTATGATTGGAAAGGAAGGTCTCAATAATCTTAAAGATGTTCCCAGATACATCATAAGAACAAAGCTTATGGAGAAGATCAGCATGCAAACTTTATCAAAAGCTTTAAAAATGTCAAGAGCAATAGTCTTAACCTCTCCACCTCTATCTAATGCACGATAAAACCTATCGGTTATTACTGTTAGCGAATCAGCTGTAGAGCGAGAAGATCAAAATCCATATTGATGATCAGAAAGTATGTTATTAGATTCAAGATGAGAAATTAATTGTTTATAGTTAAAGATTCAAAAACCTTGCTTATGATAGAAAAAAGACTAAAGGGACGATAGTCTTTTTTCTATCATCTGTTATCTCTATTATAGAAAATAGAGATAACAGATGGTAACAAATAATTATAAGTTAAATATGTAGAATGATATTTACATGATTTTATTTGAAACTTTAGAGTCTTTAAAACTTTTTTTTTTATCTTTTTAAGCAAAATAAAAAATTTTATTTAGAGCAAAGCTGATATCAAATTTGGAATACTAAACCAAAGTAAATCTATGATTTAAGATTTTATTCATCCAATTAAAAAATTATAAATTTTTATTGAGATACTCAGCTCTAATTGTGATTTTTTCTGTTATTTATCAAACTGTTTTTTTATTTACATTGCCAGAAGAATGGCTAGTAGCAAGGTGCATAATTTTAGCTGCAATTTTTAAAGAATTAGATTATCTAAGCTTACTATGAAACATATTATAAAATATCAGTATTGGCTAAAATATAAGTCAATGACTTTTAATGAAGAAAAATATAAAGTAAGTCTTTGTTTAAAAAAAAAGAAAAGTTGTGAAAAAAACTACAATTAAAATAATTTATTGATTATGAAGCAAAAGATCTGAGATAAGAAGATCTAAGATAAAAAGATCTGAGATCAAAACATCTGTGATCAAAAGATCTAAGATAAAAAGATCTGAGATCAAAACATCTGTGATCAAAAGATCTAAGATAAAAAGATCTGGGATCAAAACATCTGTGATCAAAAGATCTAAGATAAAAAGATCTGAGATCAAAACATCTGTGATCAAAAGATCTAAGATAAAAAGATCTGGGATCAAAAAACTTGAGATATAGTCTTAGAATGTGACAGAAAAAATTTTAAGTAACAGAAAAAAAAACGTTGATTTAAAAGCAACAAAAAATGAAAAAATCAACAAAAATGGTAGAGGAGTTGATAAGTTATAGATATAAAGAATGGAAGACATTTTACTTTTTTGAAATACAAGTTTATACAAAATAAAATGAAGTACAAAGAGAAGATTTATTGAATACAAAACCCACAAAGAATTTGCAATAGCTGAATTCATTACATGTTGACAAGCTTCATTTTATCAGTGTTTCATCACAAAGCTTTATATTAGACAATAGCTATATTAAAAACAATTAATTTCAAGCCTATTATTATCCAAGTAAATTTTGTTTTTATTAAAAATATAGCTATATCAAAATTTATTATTTTTACTGTTATATTTATTTTTACTATTTATACAGATAAAGTAAATTTACTGTAACCTGTACAATATCAATTGTTGTAAAAATAATTGACATTGTATAGAATTATTTTTAACAAACTAATGAGATGCAGCAATAAATATAACAACATGACCAGTATATAAAACAACATGACATAAACTAATCAAAAACTTAATTACGTCTTAATATTAATGCCTTTTTTTGAAAAGAAGCAAAATCAACTTTGAAAAACTGATTTAATTTTTTTTAAATATCTTTTTACCTTACAAAACACATCAAAATTTCAACAGTCAAAAATAATCTATATATATCCAATATATATAGATTATTTTTGATATATAGAATAATCTATATATCAAATCAAAATATAAAATATAGTTCAACTATGGTAAGTAGATAAGTTCAATGTATGATTGACCTTTTTTTTTACAAAACATAAGAAATAATATTGAAAAATCATTTATGATGTTAATATCAACTTTTATTATGATATTAATATCAATATTGCAATAATAATTTTTGTTATAGTATTTATTTTCACAAATAATACAAAATGAAATAATACAAAATTTTTTTAGTATGTAAAGTTTTATTAAAGTTTTAACAAACACAGAACAATTTTTGTTTATTACAATTAGAATAATATACATCAAACTTACACTTTTTTTTTCTTAATGAAAAATATGTATATTATTCTTACGAATCCCTAACTTAAGATTTCAGTTCAAAACTTAATAAACATATTTTAATGTTTTATAAGGATCAGTTATTTCAACTTTTTAGTAACAGTTAGTTTATACAGTTGTTGCTTATTTTTACCTAAAACTTATTTTTATTTCATATATTTTTATATTAATTGATTGATGTTTTTGATTTTTCAACTTTTCTTTTCAGTGGCTTGCTTGTAACTTACTTAAGTTTACGAAGAATGGATTTAAACAACGGAAAATTGCCTCTTTGGAAATTTTACATACATCGATATATCAGGTAAAAAAAAAAAAAAAAAAAATTTTAATTTTTAAATAATAAATAATTTTTTTTTTAAATTACATCAAAAGTATCCACATTGTGCTAAATTTCTCACCAGGTTTTATGTCCACTATGAATATAATGTCCACTGTGAATATAATGTCCACTGTGAATATAATGTCCACCATGAATATAATGTCCACTGTGAATATAATGTCCACTATGAATATAATGTCCACTATGAATATAATGTCCACTATGAATATAATGTCCACTATAAATATAATGTTCACTGTGAATATAATGTCCACTATGAATATAATGTCCACTATGAATATAATGTCCACTATAAATTTTTTTTCCTTAATAAGATACCTACTTAATATTTGTAAAATAAAATTTGTAAAAAGCACATCTAACAATGGGGTGTTGGAAAAAGTTTCTTTTTATAGGCACCCTGAACCCTAAAAAAGTAGGGTGTATGAGTTTTGAAAAAAATCTTTCATGTAATTATTTTTTCATAATTTGATTAAATATATTGGCAAGAGTCAATTATAAAAAATTTTCTGATATAAAACCAAACAAATATATAAACTTAAACTTTTTTGTAATTTTTGTATCTTTTCTTGGTTAAAATATCAGGATCAAGCTTCTCAAACATAGAACCTGGCACTAATCAACTGTCTTGAAATAAATTTAAATGATCCAAAAAAAAATTCAAAAAGTGTTTAAATATACATAATAAAATTTTGACTATTTAAAATTTTTAACTATTAATTAAGTGTTATTTTAAGATGCATTTATTGATATTTTATTAGTCTTTTACTACTTTTGGAATGTTAAAAAATATTCCTATTAATATATTATTAGTATTAATAATATATATTATTATGTTATTGAGTGTAAAACGAAAAGATAAACCCAGCCTGTGGTATGATACAAGTTCAAATCCTACCACCGCCAACTCAGTGCTTGATTAGTACTTCGGTACGCAAAAATGTTGGTCAATAACGGAGGTTACTTTGGATTAGTCCTTAATGACTATTTGTGGCTGTTCCTATACTAATCCAACAATATCTTTGGATATAACAACATTGTATACAAAAATTAGCATGAAACTTCAAATAAATAAAAAATATATTGTATATATATTTAAGTTGGTGTATCAGATAATAAATCTCTTTCTCAGAACCATTTCATCTGTATCCCTTGAAGCTTTTATGTAATTACAATTTGGAATTGATACGAGTGATAATCAAACCAAATTATTTTGTTTCAAGATAAGAGATGTAGGTTAAAGCAGTTTTGAGGGCAATATATTTGGAATGCTGAATAACTACAAGAAAATCTAGAGACCAATTATGATGTTATACAAACTTTGTTTGAGGAATAAGGGGGTTGATGGGTTGTGCAAGATTATTATAGTGAAAGACATATGTGATTTTGTTTAGTAGATAACTAGTAAAAAAAGGGCTTCATCCTAATTAGACTTTAGTGCGATAAAATGTGTTCTTTTATGGATTCTGGAGGATGATTTATGAAGGTGTAGCACCATCAGCATTGGGGAGATGAATATATAAACACCAAAAAAAAAAGGTTTTATACATTGATTCTAATCCTAAATTTATTTAGACAATGTTTATGTGCTTGAAGCATGTTAGATTTGTTGGTTAGATCAAAAACAGGAAATGCAACCAAAAAATACACATTTCTATGTTGCATTACAGAGTTCTTTGATAAAACATATGGGTTTCTTATAAGTTAGTTTCCTTAAAAAAAATTGAATTTTTTCTTTAAAAAACATATTTTTTTTTTAAGAAAAATTTACCCATTCAAAAAATTTATATCAAAAAGTGGTATTCATATATATATTTCATTTTATATTAAGTAAAATTTTAAATAAAAGTGATATATGGATTTCGATCTTCTGTTGATTTGCTAACAGTAAAGACCGTTAGGTTTCATAGTGCATTAAATGATGTGGAGAGGTTAAGGCTATCGCTCTTGACATTTCTAAAGCTTTTAATAAAGTTTGGCATGCTGGTCTTCTCCATAAGCTTTCTTTTTATGGTGTATCAGTTAACATCTTTAAGATTATTGAATCCTTCCTTTTCAATTGTAATATATAAGTTGTCCTTAATGTACAACACTCTTTATCATATCCTGTAACTTCAAGGGTTTCTCAAGGTTCAATCCTTGGCCCTATACTCTTTTTAATTTACATAAATGATCTTCCAGATATTCTCACATTTAGGCAAGGTGCAAAAATGGATTGTAAACAGTTGGACCTGCTCTTGCAGCCGAGCTCCAACTATTATCATATCGTTGTAATGTTGCTTCTCTTTCTCTTTTCTTTAAAAACTATAATGGGAACTGCTCTAAAAAACTAGCGTCTCTTGTGCCATCTACTAAAATTCATTCTTGAGTTACTCGTCATTCTATTAAGTCTCATCCTTTTACTGTGACTGTTCCTAAGTGTTCTAAAAATTCTTATTCATCCAGTTTATTTCCTCAAACATCATTACTTTGGAATTTGCTCCCTCCAACTCTTATCTTGATTCATATAATTTGCAATCTTTTAAGTTGTCTGTCTATCGTTATCTTGCTCTTCATCTTTTCTGTTCCAGTAACTTTTAACTCTAATGATGGTTGCTTGCAGCCTTGTTGGAAGTGTCGATGTATATATACTAGCAGTTCTGCCCCGTATAATATGGGCCTTGATAAGTTTATTCAACATCGACCATTTCTATACTTAATGACTTAACTATTTTTTACATAAAAGTATCTTTAAGATAGTTGACAATTGCATAACATTTCTCCTAATAATTTTGGAAACCTGAGGCATAAAATATAACTTTGTTGTAAGGATTATTTTATTTAAAAAGTAAAATAGGACATAGAATCAGATCACGAAACCTAGTTATGTCAAAAATGTTAGCTTTCTCTGTTTGGTATATCTTATAGAAACTTTTCTGTAACAAACTGTTTCAATTAAGCTGTTTTAAATACCAGCTTTAGCAAAATTTTAAATTTTTGTAGCTGTTGTGTGACGAAGCAAAAATGGCCAATATTTCTATACAAAATAATAATTTTAAAGAAAAAAATATACCATTTTATGTAAGAAAAAAAAACATACTTTTCTTGAGATAAAATAGAAACATTAATACACTTCTGAAACAAAAAAAATTACAATATATTACAAAAAGCTGTAAGGGCTTGTATGGTACAGGTCATGGTGACTATGTTCCACACCCAACTTTACTTCATCTTGCTTTTAATTTGGCCTCTTCAGGGATTGTTGATAAAGTGCGTACACTCAGATAGGGGGTCAGCAAATGGCGTGTATGAGATAAGGGGGGGGCAGAGGGGTAATTATAAAAGTAAAGAGATAATTAAAAAACATATCATAAAACGTTGGTTAGGAATGTTAAAAACGTAGGTACTATTAGGGAGATGGAGGGTACTCAAAAAAGCGTATTGTGAAATGCGGGGGAGGTGCAGGGTTAAAATAAAAGTGTACATACTTCATGGACGACCCCTTACTTACCAATAAATGAACAGGAGAAAATTAATCAATTAAAATTTTTTTGCTTTTTGTTAACAATTAACAATACTAATTTCAATATTTTTTACATAACAAAGGTATCCTTAACATAGATGGCAGTTGCATAGAATTTCTCCCGGTGTTTTGGAAAATTAAAGTTATAATAAAATTTTTCAGAAATTAATTTTTTTAAACCTTCTCACATTAAGATTTGTTTAAAAAGCAAAAGAGGACATAAAAAATGGGCCACAGGTCCTAATTATGTGAAATAAGTTAGCTCTACCTGTTTGACATTTTTTATAGAAACTTTTATGTAAATTACTATTAACAAAATCTTTCAATGAATCTGTTTTTAATACCAATTTTGGCAATTAAATTATTATTATTATTATAGCTGTTGTTTATGCTGAAAACTTATAGCAAAAAGAAATCATCTAGATGGTGATAAAAGTATAAATGGTTTCAATACATATATAAAAATATAAAAGAAATATTAAAAAAAACAAACAAAGCAAAAATGGCCAATATATCCATACAAAGTATAATTCTAAAGAGAAAGAATATAAATATTTATGTGAGAAACAAAAATATTTTTCTCAAGATAATAAAAATATTATTTAAAAAAAAAAGTTACAAAAAAAAGTTACATTTAATATAAAAAAGTACTTATAAAAGCAATTTAAACATTGTTTCATTATATAGTTCCTAGTAAATGCTATGAAGATTAACGAAACGTTAATCTTCATTAAGTTTCTTTTTTTCTTTTAGAAAATGATCAACATACAGAAGATTTCTTAAATTATTCTATGTAGGAATATTTTCAAAAATCAGTCATAAGAGGAAGAATTCAACCTAAAAATGTAACATAATTATTATTGGAAACACTTAATACACCTTAATGAGCTATGTACTCTATTTATTTATTTGAAAACTCGAAAAGGCTAAATAGATATCAAATAAGAAACTTACTTTAGGAGATGTTTATTTTTTTTCAGGAAAGTTTTAAGATTTTAGTTTGGTTATGAACTCTTTTTGAAAAAGCAACATTAAAAAGAAATAATCAATGTTTTTATTTAAAATACGAATCTTTGACTTTTAGTGAATGATTATGTGTTGCCAGTTTCAGTTATAAAACAATTCAATAATCATTTTTTAATGATAGACATCAACTGTAAGTTAAGCCAAGTCCTCTATCAACACAAAACATTACAATAATTAACAAATGGTTTAACATATTGCAGTCAATAACTCCAACCTCTAAGGGACAAAGATATTAAATTGTTAGAGAATGTTAGAGTTTCATAAAAAAAGGTTTAACTGTAATTTCAAAATTAATTTATAATAAGTGTTTTAAAATACTTTTAAAACACTTATTTTAAACTATTACAAAAATAGCATTTAAAATACAACATTATTTCTAACATTTGTTTAATGACATACCTTAAAACGTTTATCAAGTTTAAAAAAACGAATT